AAAATACTGGTTTGTTGGACTTGAAAATTGTTGAAGTATATACCCTATTTTTTTAATATTAATGATTATAGATGGTTCTTGATCGTGATTCTGTGGACATTCATTCTGCTATTGATTCTGAAGATACTTCAGAAAACAATAAAACAATTTGTTTGGAAATTTTGGACTCACTTAAAACTTGTTTTTACCAAAAATCAGAAATCAAACAATCACTTTATAGAGGATTGATTAGAGTGACTTCACACAACAGTGAATTGTGTGTTTGCGTCAATAGTTTGTTATTGGACCACATRAGTTTATGGTGTAATAGACTTGTAGTTGCAGAAAACAAAAAATCATTAAAATTTGACAAGTCAATAGTCATAGGAAAAGATAATAAGCCTGTAATACATGTGAGTTAATCWCAATTTCTTATGTTYTTAAATTATATGATACATTATTTTTAGGAACCGTTAGATGAGTTGATTTTACTAGCTCAACATGTACTGGTTACAAATATGAAGCTTAATGATAACATAGAGTATGCAAAAATTGAGGAATTAAAACAATTACTCTGTCAACTAGTGAATTTCTATAGTGAATGTAATACAGATGAAATAAAAGTGGTCTGTAATATTCGTGTTTTGTTAGTATGAATGAAATATTATAAATTGTTTAATTTGTTTATTTTAGAATGAAAACGATTGTTTACTAGATATAATGTGTGATATAAAAGAACATATGGATGTTACCAAACAAGTYTTGTGTGTTTACCAAGCATTTATGGTTTATATTGTAAATTCATGGTGTAGTTCTGACCAAGATAAAGAATGCTGTGAAAAACTACAGAAATTATTTTCTAAATACAATAATATTTTAGAAGCCATTATGGTAACTTTCTTTTTTCTCATTTGAAGAAAATGTCATTCATGTTTTGCTGTTTTAGGCATCAGATAAAACTAATAAGAAGAAGGATAAAGGAAATAAAAAAAATAAAACTGAAACAACTGGAACAACAACAAAATTTRTTGAACCTGCTATTCACTTAGAATTTAATTTACTGTACAAGTTTCTTTCTTTACTTACGTAAGATATACTTCATATTTTTCAATCAAAATATTCTATCGGGTTAGTAATTGTTTTAAATTTTATTTTTTAGTAAAAATGTCAATTGGGCATCTGAAATAAATGTTRTATCATTAAAACAAAATGCAAGATTATGGGAATTTGTGTTAAAACTGGTACAAACACATTTGTTGGAAGTGAAAAATTTGCTTTCGCGTGACATAAAACCTCGTAATTTGTACGAAAATATATGTAAATTGACAAAGTAAGAGTTTTARCTATCATATTATTTGTGCGTGTATTTATTATTTATCAAACTTATGTTGATAGATTGCTTTACGACTATTTTCTATTTGATGTTCGTGAAAAAATTAAATTCAGTCAAACGGTTCTTGAATTGGGATTGGATTGTTATTTACAATCAATTAAACTCGTCAATTCTTATTATAAGAATTTGAGTAAATTTTTCTCTGACTCCAGTAAGTGGATATACAAATATTGCCAATATTTATATTTTTTAAAATAATTTTTGATTATATTATTAATGATTAGACAAAGACGATTCAAATGACGGATCAGAAGAAATATTCAGTGTGCTGCGTAATATGAGATTATATTTGGATGAAATATTACAAAT